ATTTAGAAATAATTAAAATAAATTAATACAAACATTAATTTTTTTTGAAGTGTTTATGAGAAGTCATTAGTTCTAGCAGTACTTTTAAAAAATCACTCCAAACATATTTTTAGAGAATTTATTTTTCCTATTAACTTTAGAAAGTTAATATTAAATCTCATATTAACTTTAAAGTAAAATTCAAAACAATCTTAACTGCAAAAAGTAAAAATTATTTTATTATTATATATATTAGTTACCAAATTATTTTGTCAATACATTATATTAGATTTTTAGGTGTTAATAACATTATTCTTTTAAAAAAAACACTTTACTATAGTGAGTCACATGTCCTTTTTGGTGCGTAGGGTCCTCAAATTATCATCTTAGGGCAAGAGTGTTTTGGTGTATAGATTTCTTTTTGCACATTACCTTCGTGTTGGCTTGTTGTATTTTTTTGATCATTTTTTAATTTAATTGAGTGGATCAACAAATGCAACCCAAAAAACTTCCAAACATTTTTGGAATCGACAACATAAATCATCTACATGTAATTTTAGGGTAAAACTACAAAAACGTAATATATTATTATTGTTGTTGAATTAGTAATGAACACAACATTAAATGAAGTTCAATATCAATTAATGTTCGCACATTAAGTTCAATTAGTATTATTGAATATTTTAGTTTTGAACGTTTCTTCTAATATATTTTCTTTTGAAAATAAATTTTATTTACTTACTAAAAATGATTTTCATAGGGAACTATTGATTTTCAGGAATTCAAACGTTTGATCATTAGTGAAAACCTTCACCGTTGGTATCGGGCCTCTTTGTGTGCAGGCCCATCTTTAGTTGCTATCGGGCCTCTTTGTATGCATGCCCATTTTTAAGCATGGTAAAATTGAATTGGGGTTAATTATAAATTGTATCCTAAAAGATCATTTAAATTTTAATTTGTACCTTTAAAGATATAAATTTATATTAATATGCATCTCCAAATATCAAAAATTTAAATTTGTACCCTAAAAGATAGAAATTTGTATCAATGTGTACCTAAAACTGACTGTCGTCAATTTGTTAACTAAAATTAAATTGATAAATTATATCTAAATCTTTTCATACTTGTCACTTAATTATTTAGACTCCTTCACATTTAGAATATTACTCTTACATCTCATGACGTTTGTGCACGTGTAACACGTAACCCATTTTCGTTAATATTTGTTAATATAACTGCTAAAAAATATGATTTTATCCTAATAAAAAATTATAATTTCATATTACCTTTTATTTTATGGGTCTAATATACTCTAAAATTTAAAATCAAGTTTATCATTTGAATGTCTCATAGAATAAAGGGTTGTACATTAAATAATATATTGCATTGAATATAAAAATATTATATACATACCTACATTTTATTTGACATTCAAATGATAAACTTGATTTTGAACTGTAAAGTATATCGGATTCACAAAATAAAGGGTAATATGAAATTATAATTTTTTATTAAAATAAAATTATATTTTTTAACAGTTATATTAACAGATATCAATGAAAATAGGTTACGTGTTACATGTACACAAACGTCATAAGATGTAGGAGTAATATTTTAAATATAAAGGGATCTAAATGATTAAGTGTCAAACATGAAAGAATCTAGATATTATTTATCAATTTAATTTTAATCAATAAATTGACGGCAGTTAGTTTGAGGCATATATTAATATAAATTTATATTTTGAAGGATAAAAATTAAAAATTTTGATATTTAAGAGTACTAATTAAAATTTGAACAATCATTTAAAGTATAATTTACGATTAACCCATTGAATTGCTTGTGTACAAAGTTTTCTTCTTTTAGGTGGGCAACCTTGGAGCCATTCCGACATTGAAATAGATCAAGAGGAGGAAGAAGAAGAAGAAGAATGATGGAATCACCGAAGACAATAGAGCACGAAATCGGAGGGGTGAAAAACGGTGCGCTTCGATTTGGACTTCAAGGTGTAAAGAGTGGCATCGTTGGATCTCATCCCCTTGAATCTGCCTATTACTCATTACTCTTCTCTCTCTATCTCTCTGTGTAAACTCATATCGCTTATATTCATAGGATTCTATATATGTGTGTAATCAGAGCAATATATATGTATTTTGATTAGACAAGGATGACACACGAGGAGATGAAGAGGAAGGTCCTTACTAACACTTACGGCTCGGCTTTTCCTTTGAAGATGGAGCTCGATTGCCAGGTTCTTTCTAGGTATTATGAGTTTTGAAGTTCTTTATTTCGATACAAGATCGCTTTTTATTAATTTTACTGCTTTTGAAATTAGGATTTGGGCAAAGTAGGGTTTTGTTTAATTTTTTTCTTTTTTGGGGGTTTCATTGTTTATGAAGTCATGATTTTCTCAATTAACTACGACTGAAAGCTTGTCTTGACTATCAATGCTCTGTGGGAATATTTGGATTGTTTTAAGGTGGGGGGATTGGATTGGTCAAACCCTGCCAAACCCAACCCAACCCAACGGATTTCTATATGGGATTCAATCCTAAACTCAATCCAATCCTATGTTTGGTAAGCAATATAAATAAATGTGAGACCCACAAATTTATAAAAATTATCACCCCACATTTGACTTGTAAATGACTATATTGCCCATTGACTAATCCAATTCATACTTATGTTTGATCGGTTACACATTTTTTTCTTATGAATTTAATATTTATTTTTTATGTCTCCCCAACTTATGATATCCAACATCACTATTGATAATAGAAAATATTATGCATAACCACAATAACACAAATTCCACGACTTAATTATCATTGTCCAAAAAGGACCAGTAATCTGTAATACCGCAAAATCACGGTCTTCTACATTAAAATTTAACATACGAGTATACAAAAAAATTGTTCATCCCTAAACAAATAACACCGGATAGACATATCCCCATTGCACCATATAACAAGGCATAACAACAATTACCAACAATTAGTTTCTTCAAACCAGGAAATAATATGGAATCGAAAGAATTTGGAGATGGGTTTTCTTCAAGCATTTCTTTTATAGACTTTGGAGACAATGGATTAAAATTGGCACTCCAATCTGATGCAAACTCTTTAACCAAAACCCATTTGTCATCTTCATTCATTTGCTTCCATTTCTTCTTCACTTCCTCAAATTTCTGGCCCATGCACTGGCACAACTTAGTGAACAGGAATTCTCTACTCTTCTTCATGACTTCTTCTCTTTGCACCAAATGGGTGTTTAATATTTCAACCTCTGTAGCTAAATCTGATGAAAGATTTGCATCATTTGGACTCTTGTTGGTGGTGTATGAGGTTTGGAGTTTGGATGGGTTGGTGAGAGAAATTATGATGGGATGGTGGTGGAGAAATTATGGAGGCAGCCTTGGCTTTTCCAGTCTTTTGTCCAAATTCGCAGATGGATGGTGGTGGAGGTCGAGTGTCTAGTTCCCCTCCTTCTCGAGATTCGACGGACAGAGATAGGGTTGGGGGTTGGGATATCTTTTGGGTAAATTTGAGATTTTATTAGGGATACAAGTGTAGTTTTTTAACCATTATATTCGGGTTGGGCTGATTTCAAATCCACCCTCCCCTGGATTTGGTGAAGCCTTTATTCATGGGTTTTAAGGAGACAGTTTGTTGCGGGCCGGGATTTAAATCCCGGGCCTTAAGCTTGTATCTAAACATGGGCTTAGCCTCTCCATTGGATTTTTTTCCTTAAATCCCCTTTGTATACCCACCCTGTTTGTTTTCCGCAGAAGTGAAGGGGCAGAATAAGAGTTTCAAAAAATGAGTCGAGATCTTGTTTCATTTGGCATTTCCCGAAGCATAAAACCCATACATTGATCCAAATCGTTTGTATGCATAAAACCCATACATTGATCCAGAATAAGACAACTGTTGACAAAGGGTGTTAGTGAAATTTCAAATAACTAATTAGGTGTCCTTAAAGATAGGCCTATTTACAGAGTGTGGGTGAAATTTTTCCCCCAAAAAAATAACAATTGTAAGGGGGAAGAGAAGAACTTAGTGGATAGAGTTTTTCGCATATCCATCTAATATGTATGGGGGTATCATCACTAATGAAATTAGTCTCTTGGTGGTTCATGTTGGTCCACAAGCACACTATGATTACGTGACTATTTTAAATGTGAGGGGGTGAAGTACAACATGGCCTACATACAGGGAGTAAAGTGAAATGTGCTCAATTTTTAAACTGGTCTGTTGAAAACAAAGCATGTTATGAAAGCAGTTTTGGCAAATGTCAGGGCAGATGTTTAATACAAATATGGGCGGCATTCAGGGCTTTGTATGACTTTATGAATTTATGTGAATATCCCATGTTGATTATTTATAGGGTAGATTATATCCCTGAGGTTTGGTTAAATAACAACTAGACCCCCTTTTGTTTAAGAAATAACACTAACCTCCCTTCTACTTTAGTATCAGATAACGGATTCCTCCAGCTGTTATTAATCTGTTAAGAAAAGTCAACATTTTCATGATGTAAGTAAATTTTATCTCTAATATACCTAATTTGCCCATAGAAGATCACATGCATACCATGTGAGGATTAATTTGAACAACCTGAGGGTTATAACCAATATTAAATTTTAAAAAAAAAACATAAAATACAAAAAATAAAAAATAGGATTTGTTCGCAACTTGCAACCACGAACCCCCTAACCCTTCCACATCACCACAACTCCCCTGCCCCTTCTCTGCCCCCTCCAGAGTGCTAAGCCCTTCACAACACCCTCACACGACCCACCCAATAACCTGCAAACCCATCCACCCCACACTAGTACAATATTGGCCGCCCACGTACCAGTCTGTGAACCCCTCCACCTCACACCCTCGCCATAGAGGATTCATCACCAGAACAGCTACCAACTCCACACCAATCGAACACCATTTGTTGGGGAGCAAATCCAACGAATAGATTATATTTCGGTTTTGATTTTTATTTTCTATTTCATTTTCGATTTTAAGATGGAAAAATTTGGCGAGAATGGGTCGATTGGTGGTTGGCAACGGTGGTTTTGGTTGGTGGCGGTGGTTTAGATAAGAAAAAAATTGAGAGAGAGAGGGGGGGGGGAGGTAGATTGGGCTCACCGATGATGGTGTCCAGATTGGGCTCTAAGGTGGTTGAGTTGACTCTTTCTCTCTCTTGTTCAGTCGCTCCATTTCTCTGTCTTGTTCTCGCCCCATCCGGTGACGGGGAAAGTATTGGAAGAAGAAGCCCCTGTATCATTGTGTGGTAACACGGCGATGGGTGAATGGCTTTTCGGTGGTGATTGTGGTTGTTGGTTGAGTTAGTTCTGCCGGTTGTAATTACAGGTTTTATTTTGGGAAAATATAGTTTATAGTGAGGGTAGTATAGCCATTTTATTGTTTTTGTTAAAGAAATGAGTTGGACGTAATTGACACTAGAGGGAGCCTAGTTGTTATCTAACCAAACTTCAGGGGAGGTGGATGTAACGTACCCTTGTTAGTAACTATAATTTTCTCAGACTTGTTTCCATCAAGATTTGAAGGTGGTTTTGAGATATTAATTGGACAAGTCTCCAGAGAGAGAAATATTAATAGATATCTTTTCGTTACTCTGTTTCACATCGGTGCACCTTTGCATGTTTTTGTCATGTGACAAACCATTTGTCTGGTTTGCTTGTGCATAGATTAAATTTGAAAATTATAATGGCTTGCATCCCCCCCTCTCTCTCTCTTCTAAAAATCAACAGATTTCAGAGGCCTCCAGGAGCAATACCATCTTCCATGCTGGGGTTAGAGGCCATGACAGGATGTTTGGAAGACTTTGGTTTTGAAGATTACCTTAATGGTAAGAGATAGTGGTGAAAACCAACATCTTGTTTCGAATTTACATATAGAATGAATGGTCTGAGTCCTCTCCTCTCCCCGTTACTTTTCCTTTAACGAAATTTTTTTCTTGGCTTATCTCACTCTGCTACAGTTGCTAAAAGATTTGGGGTCAATCATTTCGCCTTAGTTTTGACAGATGATTGCCACTAGAGTTCGATGAAATTCATTTTTGCATTAATACAAGTGTTTGATGTTAAATGGTCAGCTATCTATCTATTAACAGTTTCCACTTGGCTTCTTGGATGCAAAACAAGGATTTAGGAATTGACAAGAAAGAGAGCTGAGATGTGTTTGTGTTTAGCTTAAGCTAGTTCCTATGTTTCATTATCATAGTTGTAAACACTTGTTTTCAAAATTTTATGAATGAAAACTAAATTTGGTGGATTTAAGTTTTGAAGGTTAATTTGATCAATTAAACTTTTTATCAAGTATGTGTAAAGTCATAGATATTTTAAGATTATTTCGTTTGAAAATGGTTCCAAATTGCTTTGCCTAAGAATGCTTAGTTTTTCTACCACAAAATAAAAATGGTGAATTTTAAAGACATGCTCACAATGCGTAGTGGTATCTAACAACCTCCCTTGATATTTCTTGCAGATCCACGGGAATCTGAAACTTTCCGTCCAGCTGACATGCATCATGGAATGGAAGTTAATCTTGGGATATCCAAGGGGCCTATCTGCCCCAGTTTCATGTGAATCAACTATGTTGATAAAGGAATTCAATTCAACTTGTAATGCTGCTACAATGATATTTGTTTTTTCCTCAAACATAATGTGGTTGAATTTACACTGTATGAAGATGAACAACTAGCTGGTGGGGCATCTGCTTGCTCTTCAGTGGTATTTGAGTAGTTTTCTATAGTAGTCAATTTCTTTTGATTAATTTAAAAGAGCCAGTATGCTCGACTTTAGTGGTATTTTAGGATGCTCGACTTTAAATGTTGCTCATTCTGACAAATTGAAGCAACTCAGCATGGCCTTATTTGTTCGTTGTGATAGTGTCTGTTCATTAGTTGGCCAGGACTGCACAGCGACAAGAAGAGATACAAAGGAGCCACCTGCGCTGCGAATCGTCATGTGAACTGCCTAAACCACCTTGTATTTTATTTGGTTAGGAGGAGAAAGGTCTGGAGACCACCTTGTATTTCATTTCAGTGTACCTAGGCCGGTTGCTTAGGTTCACAAAATTAAGGTTCGTTTTGGGGACAATAACAGTAACTGCATTGCCTTCACTACATTAGTCAAATTCCCAAATGACTCAACAAAAGATATTCAAATACGTTTCCATAAGCTTCGTGCTTAGATAAAATCTTATATTATGAATAAATAAATAAATAAATAAATAATAGAGGTATTGGAGAAATAACTTACAATAATTAAAATTATTGTTTTCCGATAGGTTTCCATTTTAGGACATCAGTTAGCTCGGCCGTCGTCTGTCTCTCCACTACTAGTACTAGCTCGTTCATTCTCTCTCCTCCTCAAAAAAACACCGTCTCCGGAAGATTCCTTTTTTCATTCTGTACCGCTCCAGGCTTAGATTTCCACCATCAATCCTTCACCTTCGCTTTCCATGAAACCTTAGCTCTTCACTCCTCTGCAAACCCTAGCTCCTCAACAACCCCCCCCCCCCCCCAAAAAAAAAAAAAAAATGGATCCTCGTCGAGTCCCTCGCACTGTAAGTGACCCCAAAGTCCGTCAGGTCGGGTTCTTCGCCCCACCCGACCGTTCTCAATTGTCCCCGTCGGAGCCATCCGCATCATCCCCACCTGTCTTGGATCTCTCTCCCTCCGGCAACTCTCTCTCTCCGGTGATGATCCCGCCGTCGCGTCATCTCTCCGAACTTCCCCGCGCCGGTCAATTCCCTCCGGCTCTTCTCTCCCCACTCCGTCGGCCATCGCACGGCGAGTCCATTCCCGTCGGCAGCTATAATCCATCCGAGTTTGCCTCCCCCACGGCGTCCGGCGATTTGTCCGACGATGTCCAGTGGTCAGGGCGGATTCGCAGGGGCAATTCTGGAAAATTCGCTTCTTCTCTTCCCACTGGTGGATTCGATATGTCCGGCGTTAAAGCAAATATTGTTCCGGCCACTGAACTGACGACAGTGTCCGTGGTCAACATGCCTCCTGGTGTAACTGGTGAGCAAAAGCTTTTTCTTCCCTATGTAATATGTATAGTTATACACACATGTATTTGAAACTTCTTCTGGGTGAAGACTCTTGCATTACATTGTTAAAGTCAAATGTTCCAAATTTTGGCAAAGAGAATGAACCCGCAGAAAATTCGTAATTGAATGGCTATGGAATAATAGGGATACCTTCAACTCTGATTTTATCTGGTGTTCGATTACATAAATGGCCTATCATTTTCCTTTCTACCTAGTACCTTCTGATAGCCTCTACATTTTTAATGCCATCGCAATTAGAAGGTAAAAGGCTGAAAGTGGGTGCCAAGTTAATAGGGAAGCTTGTAGCACCAATCTTGCGACAGAGAAGGCTTGTAGAGTAACAACTGAGTTGAGACTCTGAGTGGGTATAGACAATGATAAAGAACCTTCTTTTGGTTTTATGAGCTTGAAAAGGCATGTGACAGCGTCGATAGAAAGATTATGCCATGTTTTTGGAATATGTTTGGTGTCTAAAGAACCTGTCTTAAACAATCATACTTTCCATATTCTTTCAGAGTTGAAACTGGAGTCATTGGTTAGATGTGTGCACACGTTAGTGTCATGTATATGATAAGTTGTGGCTAAAATTTCATTGTTTGACAATTCTATTTATTGGTTATGTAGTGGTTGAGTTAGTTGACTTGTCAAGAACATAATCTTCTTCTTATATCCATCTGTTATTGTACGGCCACACACTTTGAGGTGTATTTGGACTTGTATTTTTAGGTGGGGGGGGAAGTGACTGGTATATAAGCACGGTGTCAAGGATACGCATGATGGGTTGCTTGTTTACTTGAGGACTACTGCAATAGAGACGAATGAATTCCCAGCAGCTACAATTTTCTGGGTGAAAGACTTGGACAAAGAAATATATGTTGTGCGACTAAGAAAATATTGGAGTGGTTTGTTCCTACTTTCTAGTTGAAAGGAACACAAGAAGAACCCCAAAATGACATTGTTTTGGGGAAGTAAGAAAGAACACGATTCTTTGGTCTCAGATGGAGGGTACATATTGCACGGGATAATTCCTGCAATCGTTTGAGATAGCGACCTCCAACCTGATGAACCTGAAACAATCACAGGGTCAGAAAAGGGGGTCAGGTGAACACCCGGCTTATCCCCTCCGAAGTTTAAATCAGTCTCAAGATTCGAGGTTCAAGCTCAATGAATAATCTTTTTCTGGTTTAATCTTGTGTTCCTTTGTTCATTTTTTTGAGGAGTATTTATACCTGAATTAGCAATGATTGTCAAAGACCTCCAGTCCCATCCGGACATTTAATGTCTGACATGCCACTCTTCGCGCAATGAGTGTTCTCCACTCATGTCTTCTCCTACCCAATGCTAGGATGATGGGACGAGTGTTCGGCTCCATGCCGAGCATTTATGTCCTTCCCCGAGTATTCACATCCCTCAGATTGGCGCCTGACACCCGCAACTGAGCAATGAATACTCGGGAGAACAGTTCCTCGGAGAGAGCTGATTGTATATATTCGGCGTAGTAACTATTAATGCCTAGCCATCATGATGATAAGCCTAGGCTCTCAGAGTGCAGGCGCACATTTAATAGTCTTGTCACCATCACTCATTCCGTCATAAATGAGAGGTCACATCGTATTAAATGTGCTGCCAGCTGTCGTACTCGGTTCCTCCGGGACACCATATCTCAGCTTACCTCCTTGTTGTCTTTTGGGCATCACAACGACTTCGTCATTCCACATGTCAATTAGGGGGCTGTAGAGCCACTTAGAGTCTCGCCAACTGCCCCTCAGCCTCCATCCATTTTGCAGCGTGGGACAAATGGCGTAAAAAGATTGGAGGCTCAATAAACACGCCTCATTAATAGCGACGTTTACTTGCACGTCTGGCACCGCCCTTTTCAAATCCCCTCATGATGGCTCAACTTTTCGATTCCCGCCCCTTGTAAAGCAGTATAAATAAGAGGTGCTCATGTCTTCTTAAAACTTTTGCATCCTCAGTTTCCCCTCAGCAATCAGCCCCCGAGCATTCCTCTGTTCTCCTCCGAGTTCTCTCCGTTCCTCTTCGAGTTCCCTCTTCGAAGACCGTCTTCCTGTAAGTAATCCTTCTTAAGCTTCTTTCTCATTTCTTCCTTTCAAAATCCACCAATGGCCAGAACCAGCAGAGCCAGGGGGGAGACATCTATTAGGGCTAGGACTAACCCCAAGTTGAGGAGAACCCAAGTGACTGATGAGAACATCCAAGCCTTCAGGGTTAGATACCACATCCTTGAGCCTGTCCTCGCCTTTCCTTTTAATCCCACCCACCATAGGAGGGATATGGGAAGTGTAGACATGATGCCTTTTTAGACCAAGGCCATCATGGAAGGAGGGTTAACCTTCCTTCTCCACCCCCTGTTGCTAAAGATGCTGATGCAACTGAAGCTCTTTCTCTTTTAATGCGGGATTTTAATTTCTTTAGGATTGTGATGGGCGTAGTCGCCTTAAATGCTCGGTTGGGGACCGATTTAGGAGTAAATGAAATTTTGTTCTGCTATGACTTGAGGTTAGTTGCCGAGGGAAGATATTACCTCCAGGCTCGAGATACCTCGATGTATCTGGTAACTCAGATGCCCAACTCGGACAAGGGGTATGTAGACGATCTGATCATGCTCAGCGGCAGTTGGGAGAAGGGATAGGGGCCCGAGTATGTTGGATTGTACTGCCCCAAGGTTCCGAGAGATGAAGGTATGTTTTTCTCTTTTTCTAGACTTGTACTGATCTTACTATTATTAGTACTGACCTTGACTATTTGTTTTTGCAGAAGGATATCGCCGGGACGTTGCTCAGCCCTTGAGGTCTTAAGTTAGATTCGCCGACCTCCTAAGAGTTTGGTCCTGCGACTCTGTTGAGTGAGCGGCGCATACCCTGCTCGGCTACACGCCGACTTATAGCAGATTCTCTCAAATCCCCCCTCTATTCAACCCTTCTCTTTGGGAAGACCATTCTTCGTCGGAAGAGGAAGATTCCGAAGAAGAGTCTGAGCACCCTCCTCCCGAGCCCCCCGCATCTGAGGAAATGTTCAACCCACTGTCGATCACTGCTGCCAACATGGAGGCTACCGTAGTGGCAAGGAGAGCCAGGCTTGCTGGGTTGGGCGGGCCTTCCAACATGACTCCAATCATCCCTCCGCCAAGCTCTCCTTGGCGATAACCAGCCCCGCCACTGCCGCGTCCTCAAACCTCCAAGGACCTGGTCGCGCCGCCGAGGCAGAGGCCCCTATCTCACCAAGTCCCCCCTCCTGGAGATCGGCCAAGGGATCGGCGTGCCCGAGAAGCCGAGGGGTCTGAAGAACGCCGAATAAAGCGGCGGCAAGACACTTCGGGGCCGTCTGTGTCTGCCAAGTGGGTCCGCCGGGCCGAGACTAAAAGCGGCTGTCCTATCTTAGGGGCCGACTCCATCCTCCAATCCCCCGAGGTGGCCTTTGCTATTGCGGGGACTTTTCAGTTTAAAGCCGACATGGCCATGTACAAAGGTTATTCAGACAACCGGCTTCTGATAAGCACTATCCAAATCAATTTGGTGGTAAGTACGGCGCTTTTTCGAGTATTCCTTGTTGCACATTTTGGCCATTTTTGACAGTCCTCTCCCTTTTAAGGCCAGCCAACAGGTGGGGGCCATCATTGAGCGTTTCTAGGAGTACAAACAAGCGGCGAAGGATGCCGAGCGAGCCACGGCTGCTAAGGATGAACACATCCTTAAGGTAGAGAAGACCCTCGACGACCAAACCCGGCATATCGTCGAGCTCATCCGCCAACCCTCAATGCCGAACTGGAAAAGACAAGGGCGAATGAGGCTGCGGTGATCAAGAATGTCGAAGAATATGAGCTGCGAGTCTCCTCTGCCAAGGTCAAGCTGCAGGAGTCTGAGTTCGTCATTAACGAACTTATTGCCAAGGTGGACTCCCTGACAGCAGAGAAGGCGGGGAGCAGGAAAGGCTACAATCAGAATGTCAAAGGGTGTGGTTAGCCACCTAGGACCAAATGGTTCCCGCCTTTGAGGAGGCCAAGAAAAAGGCTTTCAAAGAATGTTGGGACGCTACCCTTTGCACCTACCACGTTGAGGCTGGCTCGGACTTGTTTGCAATGCATAGCCTCTGAGGGGAGGTTGATGATGAAGTCCTGGAAGAACAGGTCCAAGACAAGCCAGGTGAGTAAGTTCAGGCGGCCGGGGTCGAGGGTGAGAACGAACCCATCACCCTTAGTGATGGTTCTGACTAGCCTTCTCCTGCCCTTCCGTCTCTGTCATCCGTCGATCAAGCAGGTGATCTTCCTCCCCCTCCGTCCCCAATCATTACTGGAGTACCCAATACTGAACTGGATGAGATATTGGGGGTTGGAGAGGAACTACAAAGGCGGCATGGCGGCCTCAGTGGGGGAGAATCCGGGGAGGAAGGAGCTGAGGGCTATTAGCAGCTGGAGGGTTTGTGCAACTTCTATGTCCAATGCTTGTTTTGTAACTCCTCTTTGTAGCTTTCTTTGTACAAAGTTTTGTAACTGTTTGTACGCTCGGGGACGCAAAGCCCCTTTTTTGAATGAAACTTGTTTTTTCTGCATGTGTTTTTCCTTTCCTAGGGTAGTAAGGCTTCACGTTGAATCCATAAGAAAAGAGAAATTCATAGTAAAATTTGAGCAAACTCAAGTTGAACTCGCTTCTGGGTCTTAGAACCCCTCGGGACCGAGTATATAACATCCGAGCACTTGGCTCGTTAATAATTTGAAGGCGTTGTCCCAAAGGTGGAGTCTTACACCCCTCGGGGCCTTACCTTTAACAACCAAGCGCTTGATTCGTGTTAATAATTTGAAGGCATTGCTCTAAAGGTGGAGCCTTACACTCCTCGGGGTTATACCCATAACGACCGAGCGTTTGGCTCGTGTTAGTAATTTGAAGGCGTTGCTCCAAAGGTGGAGTCTTACACCCCTCGAGGTTGTACCCCTAACGACCGAGTGTTAGCTCGTGTTAATACAATCATAAGCAAAGCCT